TCTAAACACAAGGGCACAATAAATAAACAATATCTTATATTACTTTTTTACTTCTCACTCCTTTTTCGAGTTGATACTTAGTTATTTAAAATACATGTATATTGTTAATCTAAGTTATGTATTGAACTCGAAATAAAAACATTTCATTTCATTTCAAATGACAAAAGGTGAGGCATCAGACCAATGCTACTGCGCATAAATGCCGTGGTCTGACAACCCCTCCCATGCTGAGGAGATACTTGGAGGTACCATTTTTAATGGAAAAGCACCCACACTCCGTTGTGCCGGTGTTCTGCCGAGTTGTGCCGCCCTGCCAAAAAGTGACGCTTATGTAATGCTCAGCTGTTAATGATGTAATGCAAACCTGCGCGCATGCGCGTCTCACGGCAACCAAAGCATACCAAGATGGCGGACCGTGAATTGCTTTAAAAGTTGAAATACGAACGAATAAAGACACGAATGTCACTTTTAATGCAATTTGAGGCGAGATGTTGATGGTTCCGTTTTGTCACATGTGGGTTTTAAGAGTCAAAGTTTCGTGCAAAGTTTAGTTTAAGCAGTCAACTGCGCCTGTGAAACCACAAAGCTAATGTTTTCATAGCAGTCCGCGGCTGCTGACGTAGGCTGATGACGCGTCCTGTGGCCACTCTACACTCTTACACTGGTCTGTCGGTTGATAATGGAAATAATAAATTTCATTCAATACATGTATCGTACTGTATTTAATATGATTAACAATAGTGTGTTCAAACAAAATATTTAATTAGATTGATTTTTTTCCCCATTTTCCATTATCAACCCGACAGACCAGTGTAAGAGTGTAGAGTGGCCACAGGACGCGTCATCAGCCTACGTCAGCAGCCGCGGACTGCTATGAAAACATTAGCTTTGTGGTTTCACAGGCGCAGTTGACTGCTTAAACTAAACTTTGCACGAAACTTTGACTCTTAAAACCCACATGTGACAAAACGGAACCATCAACATCTTGCCTCAAATTGCATTAAAAGTGACATTCGTGTCTTTATTCGTTCGTATTTCAACTTTTAAAGCAATTCACGGTCCGCCATCTTGGTATGCTTTGGTTGCCGTGAGACGCGCATGCGCGCAGGTTTGCATTACATCATTAACAGCTGAGCATTACATAAGCGTCACTTTTTGGCAGAGCGGCACAACTCGGCAGAACACCGGGTAGCCCACGTGAATTTAGTCTGCAGTACTGCGGGCGCCCCCTGTGCCCATTGATGGGACAGCTATAAGCTAGCAATACCCTAGACACGTGTTTTTTCCACCGTTTTCCTCATCATAAACGTGGATTATACCTGTGAACGGAGATGTGCCCATGCGCTCCCATTGTTTACACCCGGGACCAGCTGCTGGCGCTGGGGAGAGCGGAGGGCTCTCCGGGGGACAAACACACTATTCCTGCGGAGATTCTACAGAAAACAAACAGGGGATGACGCGGGGGATGGAAGGTACGAGGGAGAAAGAGATCCAGACCCGCGGTGCCTGCCGTGATCACCGGGAATGTGAGGTCTCTCTCCAATAAGACTCACAAACTGGCTGCACTGACGCGCTACCAGCGGGAGTACCGCGACGCCAGCTTCCAGGTATTTACAGAAACATGGCTACACACAGACATTGCGGACTCTGCAGTGGCTCTGGATGGATTCCACACCATCAGAGCGGATCGCACCGCGGACAGTGGAAAGAGGAGAGGCGGAGGGCTGGCCGTGTTTGTAAACAACAGCTACGGCAAGCCGGAGCACTGCACTGTGAAAGACCAGGTGTGTGAGAAAGACATTGAAATTCTTGCCATTGGTGTGCGGCCATACTATCTGCCGTGGGAGTTAGGGCATGTTATTCTCATAGCTGTCTATGTCCCTCCATCTGCAAAAGCAGACAGTGCATGCGATGCTCTGCTCTCCACCGTCGGTGACCTGCAGACGCAGCACACGCAGGCCTTATTTATCATTACTGGGGACTTCAACCCCTTGGCAGAGCTGATCATGATATTCTGTACCTCCGGCCTGTCTACAAACCATTAGTGCACAGGCAGCCCGTGGTGAGGCGCTCGATACGTACATGGAATACGGACACTGTTGAGGGCCTCCGCGATTGTTTTGAAAGGACCCTCTGGGACGAGCTCTGTGACCCCCATGGGCAGGACATTAATGGCATGACGGAGTGTATCACAGGATATATAAACTTCTGCTTTGAGAACACTTCGGCGACCCGGAAAATGCGGTGCTTTGAAGGCTCTACTGAAGGCAAAGAAGCGCGCTTTTCGATCTGGGAACAAAGAGGAGCTGAGGGACGTAAAGAGACATCTGAGGCCGAGTTTACACGGAGACAATGTGGCAGTAAAACGGTATAGTTGGATGTCGGTTTCTACCAACCGTTCATACGAAGACTGTGTTCCAGGGGGGTGAAAACGTAAGTGTTCAGATCCAGCCTTCTTCACACCCGCGAGAGGGAAAAAGGTGTGAAATCCCCCTCAGCTCTGACCCCCGCCTCCGCGCTGCTCCCCGCACGTAAATTTGGACATGCGCAGTAGCGGAGAACAAACATCAACAACAATGGCGCCGCGTGCACTAACTAGCTTCGTGGGCTTCCAGCGCGGCACAGAGGAAGATTCTACTCCTTCGTTCGTCCAAACGAGACCACGCGAAGCTCTAGGTTCAGTTTCCATTTTCACAGCTGCTGTTAAAATGCAGAATGATGTTGGTACTTTCTGAGGGTCTGGCACAGGAAGTGAGTACACTGCCGAGAGGGGGGCTGGGGGTCGTGTTGTAAAGTTTCTTTGCCCACTACTGGCCGGGCGCTAGAACTACATCGTTTTTCAACCTCATGTGAACGCAGAGAAATTTGCATTAGGTTGTTTCTGTTAATAGCCTGGAAACGTCTGCGCAGCGTCTCAGTATAAACAGGGCCTGAGAACATCAGTGAGGGAGGCCAAAGCTCAATACAGGGGCAAAATGGAAGAGCATTATAATAAGCAGACAGAACGTTAAAGGTGTTTGGGACAGCCTAAAGACCATCTCAGGGTTCAAACCAAAACCTGTTCCGCAGGTGGGGGACGAACAATGGGTTAACGACTTGAACTCGTTTTACTGCGGTTCAATCAACAATCCGCCCCACCCCCTGCTTTGCTGCTGCCCCCCCCCAGCTAGAGAACAATGCCCCCCAGACGCGGTCGTTAACACCATGGCCCACGCCTCTCAGCTCTCTCCCACCACCAGCCCGCAGCCCCCATCCCCACCCCTGTCATTCACTGCTGCACAAGTCAGAATGGAGCTGCTTAGGTTGAGCTGTCTTCAACCTAAGCCTCAGGCTGAGGAGGTCGGTACCACAGCTCTGGAAAACGTCCTGTGTGGTACCAGTGCCCAAGAAACCACGGGCCAAAGACCTCAGCGACTTCAGGCCGGTGGCTCTAACATCCCACTGCATGAAGACACTGGATCACAGGACTCAATGACTACAGACCTGTAGCACTTACGTCTGTCGTCATGAAGTCATTTGAACGCCTGGTTCTCTCCCATCTCAAGTCCCTCACCTCCCCCTCCTGGATCCCCTGCAGTTCGCCTACAGAGCCAACAGATCTGTAGACGACGCCATTAACCTGGCCCTCCACCACATCCTACAGCACCTGGACTCACCGGGGACCTACGCCAGGGTCCTGTTCGTGGACTTCAGCTCTGCCTTCAACACAATCCTGCCATCCCTGCTCCAGGACAAGCTCTCCCAGCTCAACGTGGCCGATTCCACCTGCAGGTGGATCACCGACTTCCTGACGGACAGGAAGCAGCGAGTGCGTCTGGGGAAGAATGTCTCGGACTCTCGGATTATAAATACAGGAGCCCCACAGGGCTGTGTTCTTTCTCCCCTGCTCTTCTCCCTGTACACCAACCACTGCACCTCCAGCCACGACTCCGTGAAGCTGATCAAGTTCGCGGACGACACCACCCTCATTGGACTCATCAACAACGATGAGTCCGCCTACAGGAGGGAGGTGGACCGGCTGGTGTCCTGGTGCAGTGGTAACAACCTGGAGCTGAACGCCCAGAAGACAGTGGAGATGATTGTGGACTTCAGGACAAGCACTGTCCCCCCGCCCCCACCCTCCGTGATGGACTCCCCCATCACCTCTGTGGAGTCCTTCCGTTTCCTGGGCACCACCATCACCCAGGACCTCAAGTGGGAGCCGACCATCAGCTCCCTCATCAAGAAGGCCCAGCAGAGGATGTACTTCCTGCGGCAGCTCAGGAAAGCCAAGCTGCCCGCACAGATGTTGGTGCAGTTCTACACGGCCATCATCGAGTCCATCCTCACCTCCTCCGTCACCGTGTGGTTCGCTGGAGCCACAGTCAGGGACAAACAGAGACTACAGCGCATTGTGCGCTCTGCAGAGGAAGTGATCGGCCGCAGCCTTCCATCGCTGCAGGACCTGTACGTCGCCCGAGCTCGAGGCCGGGCTGGTCGTATCACAGCCGACCCCTCTCACCCTGCACATGGACTATTCCAACCACTCCCCTCAGGCAGGAGGCTGCGGTCCATCAGGACTAGAACCTCCCGCCACAAGAACAGTTTCTTCCCCTCTGTTGTTGGACTCTTGAACACTTCTTAACCTGTCCCCCCGCCCTTTATAAAGTCACTTTACTGCCCATCATAAGTCACTTTACTTCACTGTACTGCTGTCACCTTACATTGTGTGCACCATGTGCACTTGTATATTGTAAATAGTAACTGTAACTCTATTTTAAATTTAAATTTATTCTTTAGAAGTGTTTTTTATTCTTATTTTTATTATCTCTTTTTGACTGTTGCACTGAGCAACAGTCAAGCAATTTCCTAGTCTGTGACCTCCTGTTACTTACGTGGCAATAAAAATGATTCTGATTCTGAGAGACTGGTCCTGGAACACCTCCGCTCCACTCTGACCTCAGCGATGGACCCGCTGCAGTTTGCCTACCGACCGGGCATCGGAGTTGAGGACGCCATCATCACCCTCCTCCATCACTCGCTGTCCCACCTAGAGAAACCCGGCTCCACTGTGAGGATCCTCTTCTTCAATTCCTCCAGTGCCTTCAACACCATTCGGCCGAGGCTTCTCAGGGACAAGCTGGAGACAGCTGGAGTGGACTACGACTTGTCCGAGTGGATACTGGACTACCTCACAGACAAACCCCAGTTTGTGAGAACCAGGGACTTTGTGTCTGAGGTCCTGACCAGCCCTGACCAGAGCTGGAAGTCCAGCTCTGTCCTGGGCTGGTACCTGGACATAGTGCAGCAGGTGGGGGACAGGAGGGTCCTGGACAAACTAACATCTATGCTGGACCATGACTGTCGGTTGAGTTGGTTTGATTACTCCATTTCCTCTGTTCTAATGGTTTGATTCTCTAATCAGTTTGGGCTTCACCTCTAGGTGAAACACTGGTGAACGTAATAAAACCAGCAAGTGCAAAAACGACAAGTGCTCTGCACAGCTCTAGAAATTATCCCAGGCTCCCTTGGTGTTCTCTGTTCTTACTCACATAGCACCATTGATCCAACACAGCACGAGACCAGTGGAAACAGCGCTTACCTCTGACGTAGTATCGGACTCCAGCTCTGAAGCAGCTCCTGCGGGAGATCAGGATCCACTCAAACACTTTCCCATTGATCCGGCACGGCTTCATGAAAATAACTGAGTAATGGTCAAAGAAGAGGAAACACAGTAGTGCTTAAAAGATTGTTAGTGATTGTGTAAAGGCATTTATTGTCAAATAAATATGTTTTCCATTATCAAGTCAGAAAACAAGTTTATTTCACAATAAATTTCACACATTGAAGAAGTTCATTATCATGCATCATCTGTGGACGATTTCTAAAAATGTTATACAGTTGTGCAGATTAAATCTTTGTCTAAAAAATTTTCAAATGCACTGTAATGCTAAAGAGGATACATCCATGGACCAAGGGGAGAGCAAACCTGTGGAGCTGAACACAAAATCACATGTTAGAGCTGCGTATTGTTCCGTTACAATAAGCTGGGAGGGCTTTACCTCTGGCTGAGCTGCGAGTTCTCTGAGGAGGTTCCCGTTCCACACAAACCTTTGGTCCGCCTGAAAACAAGGTAATCATTTAAGCAAACTTTATTTACATACATATAGATTTTATTCTAGAGAGATTCACGCAGGTCTTTCTTGAGGAGGGCAAGCCTCCCTCAATATGGGCGTCACCAAGCTATATAATTTTTTTTGTTCCTTGTTATTGCAGAAAGGTCTAAGAACGGTGATGATCTGGGACATTTACAGACATCTATATAAATATTGTTTGAGATATATTATAGATCTAAAACATTGTTCATATTTTATTTCATAATTTACCACACAAAATCATGATGAGCGTCATAGATGATCACTATAGCAGAGAGAAGCACGCCATGTCTTCTTTAAGACAGAAAACATCACAAACGTACAAATAGGGTAGTAACTAACGCTTGTTTAATTTGATATATTTGTCTGGTGCACAATGGGGTACTTTTGCGCATGTACTCCAATTAGGTTTTTTACAGAAAATGGCAAAAAAAATAATCCAAATCTGAATGCTTATAAGTAGAAAAGTTGCTAGTCATCCACTGTCCAGAGAATATTTCACAGGTCTCGTTTCCATTTTGGGTACATTCGCAGATCTGTGGAAAACTGCATAAAAATTGCAAGTACCCTTCTCTCCAGAAGGACTTGGCAGTCAAACCAGAAGCCAAAACTGACCTCCTGACAAAACCTTGTTTTTGTTGATATGTCTACCATTTATCCATTTCACGCATAACATCTGTACAATTCCCATCATAAATAGATTTATTTGTTTTGGTTTTTTTCCTGATAAAATGTAAAACTTGTGTTTTAAATTGTGTGCTTGGATCTATTTATTATTCAATTTTTTATATTCTATTTCTCTTTTAGACACAATTTCATTTTATTTTTATGATGGATTATTCTTATTATTACCATTATCAATAAGTATCGTGATAGTTTCCTTGTAGTCTCATATTTTAATGTTTACTTTCTAATTGTATTGTTTTTAGCATCCCCAGTGTTTCCTCTGGAGGAGCCCTCTGTACTGGGAGCTAAGGTCGGCTGTGGGGGTCTGGCTCTTGGACCTGGCTGGGGCCTGGAGCCTCGGCTTCGTGTCTCCGCTGGGTCCCCTGTGGCTGCGAGCGGCTCTCTGCTCCTGAGCAGACAGTTCTTTGGATGGCGCTTCTTCAGCTGGTTACATCTGCACCCTGCCAAGTCTCTCTCTTCAGGGTTTTACTGTTTTACTGCAGTGTTTGAGAGTGTGTGTGTGCATTTGTCTGCGCGCGTTTGACTGCATGTGCGTGCATTCTTAATGATATGTGGTTTGGGGTGGGTTTGTTGGGTGAACGGGAGGGGGGGGGCAGAGGGATCATGGGTGGGATTGTTTTTAACCAAACTGCAAACACTTTGTGTTGCACTTATTGTATGAAAAGCGCTTTATAAATAAAATTTGATATATTGATTGAACCAAACTACTCTTCATAACCTGTCCCCCTGCCCCTTTAAGTCACCTTACTGTCCCCTATTAAGTCACTTTACTGCCCATCATAAAGTCACTTTACTGCTGTCGCCTTATTGCACTGCCTACTACGCATATTGTGTGCACCATATGTGCACTTGCATATTGTACATAGTAACTGTAATTATCCTATTTTTTATTTTAATTTTATTCTCTAGAAGTGTATGCCGATTTATTATGCCTTACTCTATTCTCTTTTTTCTGACTGTGCACCGAGCCAAAGCAATTTCCAAGTCTGTGACTTCCTTTTACGAGGCAATAAAAATTATTCTGATTCTGATTCTGATGTGTAGATGTTCTCACTGATGTCCAATTCACTGTTTCAACTTGACTAAATTGAAACTGGGGTCTAACAGGGCCGAGTTTCTCATGTCCCTCACCCGCTCCAGGAGGCTCATCTCCTGGAAGTCTGGGCTGGTGTTGGCCAGTCTCTGCAGCGAGTGCGTCAGGTCGAAGTCGGTGCAGAAGTAGAATCCGTCTGTGTGCAGCACGTTGTTGAGCATGGACAGGAAGGTCTTGTTCTCCTGGGACTGAAACAGGACAGGACACAGGCATCTGTCAGCAGCACATTTTTGCACACAGGGAAATATACTATCTTTTAAAGAAAAACACAAAACCACAAGAGCACAGCAGGGAGCAGACTTGTTTGTACTCGTTTGCTGCAACATATATACAAAGATGTAAAGTGCCTCTGAAAAGTACTAATACGCCTTAAACTTGGCCCAAGTTGTCATGTTTTACAACCATAAACAAAGATTTTATAGATTAACAGATAATATTGGTAATAGCTATTACAGGTAGTTATTATAATGGGCAATGCAGAATTACAAACTTTATACCGGAGATGGGGCCAAAATCTCTGTCAATTAATACAAAGTGTAATATGATCTTTGTTTAATTTGAAAAACATTTGTGGAAAATAGTTGCGTCAAATTGAAAAGAATCATACTGAGGCAGTAGATTAGCATGGACATGGTTTTTTTACGTGAGCTAAAAAGGATTAGATAGAATGACTTACTGTTGCACAAGGGAATGCATTTGAAGATCGAGACTGGTTTGACATAAAACCATAACAATGTAAAATAATTGGGGATCTCCTATTACCCCTTGTTTTGTTCTCACTTTCTCATGATTTTGGTGATCTTAAGCCTAGTTTATACTTGTGCGGCGCGGAGCTTACGGAGGTGACGTGACGTCACTTGCGCAACGTGTTGGTCACCGCAAGGCCCTTACGTTGCCTGCCGCGCAGCATCGAAATTCTAACTACGTAAGGGTCGCCGCAAGGAATCTCAGCTGTGATTGGTCCGTGTGTGTGTATTGGAAGGAAGCACGGATCGGCTGCAGCAGGGACAATGGACGAGGCACTATGGAGCAGAGAGCTTTGTGCTTCGAAGGAAAAGCAGTTTGGGCTCAGAGCCTGATATACAGGAGACTGTGGACTATCTAACATATATATAACTTATAAACTGTGCAGTCGTTTGTTTTGCCCTGTTCCTGTCTTGTTTGAATCGTAGCTGCGTTTGTTGCTTTCCTCCTGCACTCGTAAATCGTTCATGTTTGTCTGAGATATTTACTACCATTATTGTTTTGCTGTTTGTGCTGAAAACTATTTAATAATAACGATGTTTCCAACAAGAACTGTGTCTTTATTCACAGCATCACAGTTGAAATGACTGAATAATGAATCCATAAAACAGTCACATAAACCTACAGTAGATACACGTGTAATGAGCTCAAACAGCTTTGTTTGCTATCGTTGTTCTGAAGAGGACAAAGTAGCAGCGTAAATGGGACTGCTCCTGTGTGATCGCCCTCATGTGGTTTGTTGTGGGATTACAACATTCTCCTCAAAACTCCGTAAGGGGAACGCGCCAGTATAACATCAATTGTGCTTACGTAGGTCCACCGCAACCTCTAACGTAAGCCACGCCGCGCAAGTATACACTAGGCTTTAGGCCACGTTTAGACAGAGACAATGCGGCAGTAAAACACTATAGCTGGATGTCGGTTGCTACCCCCGTTCACATGGAGACTGTATTCCAGGGGGGTGAAAACGTAGGTGTGCAGATCCAGCCTAGAGTGGGACAGCCCAGATACGCTGCTCAGCAGGGCGCTGTTTCACACCCACGTGAAGAAAAAGGTGTGAATTATCTGACTGATCTGACCACAACCTCTCCACTGCTCCCCGCACGTACATTTGGACATGCGCAGTAGAGTAGAGAATTCTACTCCTTTCGTTCAAAAGAAACCACGCAAAGCTGTAGTTTCAGTTTCCATTTTCGCAGCTGCTGTTAAATGCAGAATGATGTTTGTGCATTCTTTCACGTCTTGGCGGCGCCTGAGGAGGATGTTGTTGAGGAAGTGAGTAACTGCTGGGGGGGAGTTGGGGCTCACCAAGCCAAAATTAGCTGGACTCGCATATATTTGGGCATTGTCTGGTCCTCCCGGTTCTGCGCAGTGGATTAGCACCAAACGTGCGTGTGTGGCTTTCATGCACGCGCACAGAGGGGCTCGGCCGCGCTCTGACCAATCAGAGCTAATCATCAGAGCAGCGGAAGTGCGGAGCCAGAGCCGGAAGGGAGGGAGCAGAGTTTGTGGCAGTAAAGTGTGGATTTAAAGAAAACCAAAGGATTTAAGAAGAAAAAAAGTTCAGGATGACAAAGGACACTAAAATCCCCACAAAATCTGATCTTTATGAAAGCTGTAGGTTCTCTGTCAGCTGAGGTCGTGCTGTTTTAATTTACATTGAGTTCTATGGGACTTTTTTTTGGGTAGTCCTCGTGAATTTAGTCTGCAGTACCACGGGCACCCCCTGTGCCCATAGGTGGGACACAGCTATAGCTAGTAATACCCTATCCAGTTATTATCATAGATCCATGGGGCTCACGTGTGTCGTGTTGTAAAGTTCCTCTGCCCACTACTGGCCGGGCGCTAGAACTACATTGTTTTTCATCCTTGTATGAACGCTGTGAAATTTGCATAAAGAAATGTTGGTCGTTTCTGTCGTTTCTGTCAATAGCTTGGCAACGTCTGCACAAACGAGGCCTTATATACTTGGCCTGGTGTTTGGGCCTTGTGCGTCCATGCAGAGCTAATAGGATGTGTGTAAACCAGTTACGACAGCCATGAGTCCAGCATTAGCCCTTTTGTCACGTAAATCTGCTGTTCCAGACTCCTCCATTGATCCTTTGTGTAGTGCTGGATTAATAATGCATGCAGTGTTTAGCGAAGTGGTGGGATTCTAGTCCGTAACATGAGAGGAGGCAAAGGTTAGAAGAAGTCTCAGACAAGAGGAGAATGAACTACGGTTATCAAAAATCAGATTTGAATTGATGATCCTTTTGAGAACAAGTTAAAAATGTGGTACTGTAGGAAAACTACAAAAGGACTGTATGAAGAAACATGCTCCAAGATTTTTTTTAATGACAATTAGGATTAGTGGAGGTGCTTTGCGCTGTACTTTAAAATTTAAGATTTAAAAAAAAAAATAACATACTAACCATTTATGACTCACCTGAATTTCAGACAGATGCAGCACGGTCTTCTTATAGGAGATGATGTCGAAGTCCACAGCCTTCCACACTGCGTGGCCCATCAGACTGCCGATGTTCTTCTTCCGGGTGATAACAATTAAGTACATGCCTGACACACACACACACAGGCGCACATGGCAGCTATTCTTTACAGTTCTGAGCAGTAAGACAAAAGTGCTACTGTAAGAACTATTGTTTTTAGGTGAGGATTCAGCTTTAGAAAGCTGGTAAAGAGTATGACTAAGCGAACTGAAGTTTAATTATAAATTGCCAAAGCCATCTGCAGTGAAGCAGGCGCATAACCAACTCTAACGCATGATCCGGTCTGCTTTCAGACCGGATCATGCGTTGCGTCGGGTTTCAATGCAAAGTCTATGGTGACGCGCGTTCGGCCGTCGCAACGCACAGACCGCTCGGTTCGCACAAACGGACTGTTCAGTAGAGAAGCACGGACTTGGCGGGAAAGTGAAAAGGGAGGAACAGGAGCGAAAAATCGACGCCCACAGGAGATGGATTCTGTTCATCCTTTCCTTGGGACGTTCGTGCGACAACCAATCAAAAGAGTAGCAAAGTGGTCAAGAGGACATTAGTTTTACTGTTGGAGTGCCTCCGTCGAAACGGGACCTTAGGCACTAGTGGGGGTCATGTGTTGTAAAGTTCAACTGCCCCCTACTGGCCGGGCGCTAAAACTACATTGTTTTCCGTCGTCATGTAAGCTTAGCACTTAAGCCTGGTAGTTTTTTGCAAATTTCTTCTCAGCGTCTCTGCAGCTTCTCTGTTAAAAAGGATCCTTAGTAATGACATTACTTTTCCAAAATAAAGTGAGAAGCACGGTCAGTACACACAATTCAGAAGACAAGAATGTTCTACACAAGTATACCTGCGACCAGCCGGATTGTCCCCATGATCCCACAGATAGGCTTTGTCACTGCAGAAGGCGGGACATTGCTCCTCCCTGAACAAACAAAGGGCACAACACAAGAATACACAATCCTGAGTGCTGACTAACCACCATAGCAAACCGAACCCACATAAAATGTGTAGTGCAATGAGGTTTATATTTAACAATGGTATGTGGGTGTGCAACATTTTTAACATTGGAGCAAACAGTCATAATGCAAAAAGAACAAAACCATTACATAAATGTTTTTTTTTTTTAAGATTAAGATTAAGAGATCCTTTATTTGTCCCACAGTGGGGACATTTTGGTGTTGTGTGAGATTTCATAACACTTTGAAGAAACTTTTGTTAAAGTTAAACTCATCATTCTACCAATGTGCAGAAGCCTGTACTTTTCCACTACTTGTTTTGACTATCTCTGCTGGTACTGTGGCAGCTGATTGGAGGTCTCTGTTTCTCCTGAGTATATTACAACTTGCTGTCGTAACATCCCTTGTTCGTGTGTTCGTGCTGTCTCTACCATTGACAATAAAACATGTCTTCTGTCTGAATGAAAGACACGATCCCAGACTTTGTCATCTTCTTCAGTTGCATCACAAGTTATAGAACAGTAGGAAAGAGGAGCACACGTTACGTGAACAATAGCTGTACTAACTAAAATAAAACTAAATCTTTAACTCTAGCAATAATAAGTATAAAATCTCTATCTTGAAAATAATAATAGATGTAAAAGTTCAACACCACAACCACAGTGTAGCACTGGGATTGATAAACATACCTCTCAGAAAAAGCACAACAAGACAAAGCAGAAGCCTAGAACAGGGGTCCCCAAATGGCTGTCCGGGTCCAGGTCCGGACCCCGAGACCCTTTTCTCTGGACCTCCGTGATTTTAATGTTCAAAAGTACCGTTATAATTACGTGTCAAATTTTCACCTAAAGCGATTTGTAAGGAGGCAGGCACGAGGGCGGCTATGTGCAGAGCGGGGTCTATTGGAGAAAACTTTATGGCGCTGTCAAAACACCAATAATAATAGCTGTGTCTAAATCCAAGAGAGTCAGAGACGTGTACAGAGAGATGGACACTCGGAGGAGAAGCGAAACAGGTGTGTGAGCTGCTATTGCAGATGTTTGGAATGTACACATAAAAAACATAAAAGCTTTAGCAAACAGTGCATGTCCTGCTTTAGTGCTCACGGCGAATGCATTGGATTTTGGGCATAAAAACCCTTGTTGTGGTCAGAGTGTATGGAGGCAATAACAGAAACGTTATTTGATGGGAAAGAGGCACTTCAACAAAAAAAGTCCTGATCTTATCATCCACAATTAACTTGTACATGTGTTGCACCCTCTGCTCCGAGAGTTTAGGAGAGGTTTGTGGTGTGTTGTGTAGAAATAAACAGAGGAGATTAATGTTATGTGTGAATTACAGGTGGGCAAAAAAAGTATTTTGTCAGCCACCGATTGTGCAAGTTCTCCCACTTAAGATATTTGAAAAATAACTTATTTCAAGTTCTCCCACTTAAAATAATGACAGAGGTCTGTAATTTTCATCATAGGTAAACTTCAACTGTAAGAGACAGAATGTGAAAAAAAAAAAAAAATCCAGGAATTCACATTGAAGGATTTTTAAAGAATTGATTTGTAAATTATGGTGGAAAATAAGTATTTGGTCACTTCAAACAAGAAAGATCTCTGGCTCTCACAGACCTGTAACTTCTTCTTTAAGAAGCTCTTCTGTCCTCCACTCGTTACCTGTATTAATGGCAACTGTTTTAACTCGTTATCTGTATAAAAGACACCTGTCCACAGCCTCAAACAGTCAAGACTCCAAACTCCACTATGGCCAAGACCAAAGAGCTGTCCAAGGACACCAGGAAAAGAATTGTAGACCTGCACCAGACTGGGAAGAGTGAATCTACAATATGTAAGCAGCTTGGTGTGAACAAATCAACTGTGGGAGCAATTATCAGAAAATGGAAGACATACAAGACCACTGATAATCTCCCTCGATCGCAAGATCTCATCCCGTGGGGTCAAAATGATCATGAGAACGGTGATCAAAAATCCTAGAACCACACGGGGGGACCTGGTGAATGACCTGCAGAGAGCTGGGACCAAAGTAACAAAGTAACACCAGTAACACACTACGACGACAGGGAAAATAATGATGAAAATTACAGACCTCTGTCATTATTTTAAGTAGGAGAACTTGCACAATCGGCTGAAAAAATACTTTTTTGCCCCACTGTAATTCACACATCCTCCTTCCATCAGTGAGAGCTTCGAAGATGAAACGTGGCTGGGTCTTCCAGCATGACAATGATCATAAACACACCGCCCGGGCAACGAAGGAGTGGCTCCGTAAGAAGCATTTGAAAGTCCTGGAGTGGCCTAGCCAGTCTCCAGACCTCAACCCCATTGAAAATCTGTGGAGGGAGTTGAAAGTCCGTGTTGCAGAAGATCTGCATGGAGGAATGGGCCAAAATACCAGCTACTGTGTGTGCAAACCTGGTAAAGACGTATAGTAATTGTTTGACCTCCGTTATTGCCAACAAAGGTTATATTAAAAAGTATTGAGTTGAATTTTTGTTATTGACCAAATTATTTTCCACCATAATTTACAAATAAATTCTTTAAAAATCCTACAATGTGAATTCCTGGATTTTTTTTCACATTCTGTCTCTCACAGTTGAAGTGTACCTATGATGAAAATTAGACCTCTGTCATTATTTTAAGTGGGAGAACTTGCACAATTGGTGGCTGACTAAATACTTTTTTTGCCCCACCTATATTTATATGTTGACTTATAATCATATCATGTGAAAGAAATTTCTTGAATGGATTTCTATGAAATCAAATGTTTGTATGATGTCCGGACCCTAATCTATTGAACTCATCAAGAAAGTGGATCTCCTGCCAATTTAATTGGGGAACCCTGGCCTAACACAAACAGCATAATGAATGAAATTGGTCACCTGTGAGGGTCATCTCATTGGAGACTCTGTCGATGGCTAGCACTGCATCAGCGCCTTCATCGCAAGCCTCGATGAAGAACTTCTCGGGGGTTGTGTGCCTGTTCATTTGTATGACAGAAAGACAGATTGCTTGTTTTAACAAGATAAACTGTGAGACATTTTCTACCCTAAACCTGCTATAAAAATGTGTTCCAAATAGGGCTAAGCGATATGGCTGAAAAAAAAAAAATTATGATTTTTTTTTTTCTATTTAAAAACAAACTACAACTGACATAGATTTTCCTTTATGCAGTTTAATCTAAATTTCTCCAAGGAGCATAAGTGTAACAGGAAATAAGCCTAAAATATGTTTGTAAACGAGATGGCCCTGCCATTGTAAACAGTGAAAATGTAGCTTAACAGTTTTCTAATAACTTCACTTACAGTGACACAATGCACCTGCATGGAAAACGAGGACAATAGCAAATATATATATCGTATATATTTGCATTATTTACATGAAATGTCACATAATGATTACTCTAAATACAATTGTTATAACACAGAAAGTCTTGTAGAAAAAGCCTCCTCCTTCAGTTTTCATGCTTGTTCTTTCAACCGTGCCAGAGCAACTGTGCTGTATTACATACAAAGCTCGGTACAGCTGGTGGCGCTAATACTAACTTCAGTGACTACAGCAGGGGTGGCCAACCCGCGGCTCGTGAGCCGCATGCGGCTCTTTGGCTGGTTCCGTGCGGCTCTCGGGCTTTCACATGACAAGCGTCAAAAACGCCTCGGTGGTGGCGCTGCCATTCATTCTCTATGTAGTTCTGGCCGACTTCACTCCACTAGCCGGGCCACCAAAACAATCTGACGTCGGCGAACGTCAATTCTGATTGGTCAGTCACTCTGCAGCTGCTGCCTCAGCTGTTGCAAATATCATAACAAACAACACGTTGCCTCGACCCATGGCGTCAGTACGGAAAACAGTTCCTTGGTCGCTGGATGAGGGCAACACCTTCCTCAGTTTGAGGAGAGGACAGTGTGAGCTCGATGGTTCCATCAGAAACCAGAAGGTGTTTGTGGAGCTAGCGCTAAGAACGGAGCAGAATGATTCCCACGAACATCACAATGCAGAGAAAAATTAAAAAGCTTAAAAGTGACAACCGTGAAATGAAAGATCACAGCAGCAGAAGTAGAGGCAGAACCGAAAAGTCTGGAGGTGGTTTGACCAAATGGATTAAATTTACGGACATCGGCTAACACCGGCTAACATGATAAAACCAGCTAACACCAGCTACACCAGGAGATAAGCCTCAACTCTGCCTGGTGAGTGTCTGTCTTCAATCAAATGCAAAAGTATCTGGTCTTATACTGAACATGTGTCTGTGGTTCTAAATCAGCTAACGTGGTGTTGGTGTTATGTGTCAAATCTATATCTTTTACTAAACGCAGTCAGAGTGAATCATGGTTCGATAAAGACAGTTGTGTTTCTGCTGAACACTGGGTTGAAACTCTATTTTTTTTCTTGGTTAGAGATTGAAAGCATTCATTTCGGAATCATAATTGATGTTCGCTGACGTGAGATTGTTCTGGTATTGACTCGCCCGGTTAGAACCAGGGCCAAACCATTAATAAAAAGTACCGGGGAGAGTCGAGTCCAGCCCTTTAGTACTGTACAAGTCAATTTATGTCATTATCATGTTGATGACATTTACAATAAATCTGTCTGAGCAGAGCACACCTCTCTCTGCTCAGACAGATTGCATGTGTGTGCGCGTGTCTGCTCGAGTGCGTACGTGCGCGTGTGTAAGGGTTCAGATTCAGATTCAGATTCATTTATTTGCCATTTGCAGTAAAACCACATTGGAAAAACTGTGCAAGACTACCCCGGTGTGCACCAGACAGAGGAGACGACACACACCAGAGCTCTTGCCACGGCGCCATCTTTACGGCGCCATGCGACAAACAGTAGAATAAACAGCAGAGAGCAATAACATACAGTTTCACAGACAGTTGGATAGACACATTGTGCCTTGTGTAGGGTAACTACTTATATGTAGGGTAATAATACTACAGATTATGTTATGAGAAGAATAGTGCGGCTAGTCTTCAAATCAGAGTCTGGCCGTCCTATTCGAGTGGGGGATCTGCTTTATATTTATTTAGGCACCAGCAGTATATGACACACTGCGCAGATCCAAACCAACTTTTGCCTCGAGTCAGTCTTATAAATCTAAAAGGTAGTTAATTCGTAAATCGGCCAGGGATATACCGAGATCTAACAACACGACTCTGAAGGGGTTGAGTTAAAGAAAAGTAGTTTATTGATTACAAAAATGAGGGTAAAAATATAACGAAAAGGGATTTCTGGTCACATTAAAAGCAGGAGTTGTACACATATCATTCAAATCATACATTTAACAAGAACAGTCTTACTTTGGAGGAGCGTAGAGGATGGAGAAAGGATTTGGGTTGGGGATCAGCCCACGTGGTTTCTTTGTCTGGCAGGCGGGAGGTATGAAGCCAGCGAGTTGGTCCAGCTGCTGGTCCACGCGTATGCAGCTCAGTCCGGAATGGGCTGCACGCGTATAGTCCAGAGCCAAGGAAAGAGGCTGGTGATGAAATGGTTCGTAAGGTCCCGAGCCAGAGGAGAGTATGTTTGGCGGAGTAGAAGGCCCGATGCGTGCTGGCGCGACCGTAGTAGGAGACACGTGCTGCGGGACGCCGATGGCCAGGGAGGTTGGAATAGTGATTTCAGGATGGGACAAGAGGCAGTTTGCTGTTTGCGGGCTGGTTTTGTTGTGGTCAAAGTGGGCGCGCCCGTGACGTCATATTTGCGCGTCTTCCTTGGGCCGCCTCCCCACAACAAAATGGGTTATAGTGGGAACACACAGGATTAATACAGATGATCATAACACATGTACAAACACACAGTGTATTTACATCACAGACATCAACACACACGAGTAAGGTCCGTGACGTTATCGACATAGTATCACAGAGTAATGTCCTTTTCGAGCGTCCGTCTCGGGTGCAGTAGTGTCCAGTGTCCGCTAGGGAGCGCCAGAGCGCTGTGGGGGAATCTCAGGGTGTCCGGGGACAGGGATCCTGGGAGCGAGAGCAGGGTTGTGATCTTTGATCTCTACAGGCAGGCAGAGACAGAGGTGCTTATCCCCGTGGTGACTTTATTGCTCTTTTTGGCATCTGTAATCCCCATGATCAATGATAGTCCTCCGGCCGACCTCGCTGTTCCTTTGAAGCTGCAGTGGGACGTCTTCCTCCTTTGGTCGAATGTGTACACAACAGGGCCTGGCTCTGTTTTACGGCCCTGTCCCTTATTTAACCTTACATACCCCCCCCACGGCAGAGATGCACCTTCCGACAAGGTGCATGTCATGTCGGATATGCCGGGCGGGTGTCCTCGGTCGGTCGTCTCGCCTGTTCGGGTGTTAGTGCGTGATTTGTGGTGACATGTTACAACATTCTCGCTTCAATGTGACTCAGCAATTCGCAAGCGCCTAACTGGGGCCAGGCTCGTGGCGGTTGGGTCTCGGGCCTCTGGCTTGGTTTGTCGAGGCCGGGTTTTCTCTAAGGCGAGTCCTGGCCCTGCAGGCTAGTTCTAACCGGGATCAGGGGTTTTAGGGAGTGAGCTCCGGCCGTGAACTCTAAGGTTTGGGCCGGTGCGCCTGACTCCTGGGTCTCTTGGTCTGGAAGACTCAAAGTTCCAAGCCAAGAGAGTAGCAGGAGTTTCTACTTTAGGGGACTAGGATACAAAATAGGAATCAAATCAAAAAAGGTGGCTGCCTTGGCAGCGGGTAGGAGCGTCGTTAAGGCACTCGATGGTGAGGGGTTCCCATCTTGCTCGTTCTAAAAGGGGAGTGTAAGGGTTACATGAATATATGACGTAGCAAGTGGGGCTGTAATTACGAGGGACATTTCCTGCATATAAATGGGGATGACAGGCATGATTGTCTAGGAGACTGATTAGGTATCGAGGTAGGTTGGTTGGGTCTGAGCTGGTGACTCTTAGTGGTGTTTTAGGCCCTTGGTTCACCTTCCGTGATAGAAAGGGTGACCGCCTCGAGTGGGTGACTTTGGAGGTCCTCGTACTCTGACTCATTGACCTGGGGACGCCGACTCAAATTGCCACGCTCGACGGCGCTGTCGCCCCGGTTTGGTCGTCTACGGATCTGTCTCGTCATTGCCTCCGTGCATCGGTTAAAGCTATCGCGGAGTCGTCTAACCCGTCTATTTAGGACGAAGGCCATGGCTACGACCAGGCCGTACCCGAGTCCTACCGCGATGGCTATGACTGTATCGGGAGCGGCCCAGGAGTAGGCTACTGGTTGGTGGTGGATGGTCGGTCGCTTGGCGATCTCTTGAAGGAGGTTGTCTACGACCGTAACGTCAATGGTTTGTGCCCCCTCGTAGGTGGCTTGGACGAGGGTGGAGGGTTGGAGTTCCAAGGCCCTTTCCTCAAAGAACTCTGGTATCTCGACCTCTGCCTCGTACTGGTTCGGATACAGGTGGTATAATGCCAGGTCGCCTACGTGCAGGATAGCGTCGGCTGGGACGTCGACCCAAAAGGTTTCGTCCGGGAGGCTTACTCGGGACGAGGTGTCATGTTTGTCATAGGTCAGGGTCGCCGTTCTAAGGGGAGTGTTCACTAGCCAGCGTGCCCCTACAATCTCTGCTCTAGTTTCGGTTATTTGTTTCCGCGAGGTGACCGTCGCGGGGCATCGTCTCCCTGGAGTCATGGGCCTCAGGCCGCAGATGCCATCGGTGCTGTCCCTGACGAAAGGTTTGCTGGGGCAGAGGTAATGGATGTCCTTGGTGAGGGTACACATCCTTAGGTTTGGCGTTAGGTATAAATTGGGGTTACTGTCGTGGTAGGCTACTATGTCTGGGGTCTGGACTCTGACGTGGGCATTGTCCCTCCAAGTCCCTAGGTTAGTGATCCCTTTTAGTCGGTAGATTTTGTCGCCGGGAACTATCGGTAGGGTGACTAGAAAGGCTACCTCGCGGTCCAGAGGATTAACATAGATGGGGACTGCAGCGCCCAGCGTGTACGCTAAGTGGGCTTGCATGGGGGTTACGGCGTCCCGTGTGGCTACGGCTAGAATGTTCTCAACTAACGATAGCGGCACGAGGTATGGCGGGATACGGCCCATGGCTAGGTTTTCGATCGAGGAACTGAGGTGACGTAGCATGTCCTCCATCAGTTGGGTGGTCAGCTGAGTATGGGCGTAGTCTAGTTGGAGGACGTCTAAGAGTTGGTTGACCGCAGCGGAGGTGCGTTTAATCGCAACCTCGTGTGTGTTAAGTACTAGCATGGTTCCTTTTAGGGATTTTCCCAAGGTTACCACGTCGTTCTGTTGTTGGTCAAGTCTGGTTTTGACATCCTCGAGCTCAGAGGCCATTTCTTGTTGGTGACGTCTGAGGGAGGATAGGCTGATGGCGTTTACCGTGGACATCCCTAAGCTAAAGAGGGTGCCCAGGGCGGACGCCGCGCCGAGGAGAGCCCCAATAAATCGTTTGGGTCTGGGGCGAGGGTCACTGAGCTCTGTCCTAGTGATCGTGAACTTCTCTAGTTGCGTCAGCATGTGTTGTATGTCTGCCTCAGCATGCTCCACGACCGTCTGGGTCCAGCGTGCACCTGCCCAATCTTTGAGTGTGACCTTCAAGGGCAGGTTCTTGCGGCAGACTTCACTAGGATTGAGTCTGACAAAGATTCGCTGTGTGTGGAGTCGGACGTCCGTGATGAGGAGCCCGGGTTGTTCCTTTAAAACGATCCCGGAGGCTGGTCCGGTCTCAATAATTTCTGGGGTGCCGAGACCCAGTATGCAGGTCAGCACGAGAAGGAAAGTGGGCCACATGTTCTGCAAGGCGTGAAACAACTGTTAGGGGTTAGACAAAGACACAGAGAAAGAGAAAGTCGATCAGTGCAGCAGAGAAGAGTGTTAGTGAGTGCTGGGCTAATCGTGTTTGAGGTCACGTGGTGTGTTCCTAACTGGGGTTTGAAGTGTGCCCTGCTTGTCCCATGGGGCTTTGTTTGTGTGGTTTGGTTTGGCTGTAACGGGCCCATCTGAGGGTGGGCTCTCTACCTTTTGTGACCTCGATTTGGTGCACTGCGGTTGAGAGTTTGTTTCCCACCCTGTATGGTCTTGACCAGCGGGGTAGCGATTTCCGGCGTAGTCTGGTGGGGCCGGTCCCCGCGTGTCCTGGGGAGTGTGCCAAGGTGTAATACCATACCTGGTTTTTGACCTGGGGGTGGTCCTGCGGGTCGGTCCTGTATTGGTTTGTCCTCAGGAGCCGGGGGAGTTTCGCGTTCTCGTCATTCCGGTTTGGGGATACGTACCTTAGTATTTCGGTCACCGTCCGGTCCGTCCTTTCTACCTGTTGTAGTGCCTGACGTGTGTTGTTTATACCTGTTTGTTCCGCGGTAGGTGCGTCATGGGCGTGTGCCAACATTACCCCCCTCATGCTTCGAGGCACCACGAGTACCGACGAAGTGAGTGTATCGGAAGCAGAATCTAACAGCCCATGGCGTATCGGCAGTATTCCTTCATCACGGCCGGAGGTTCCGAGCGTCGTGTCGATCATGGCGTCGAAGGGGCGTTCTAGTGTGGGGTTGTCGTGTCGGAGGGAGGCTAAGTCCGACCTGTCGAGGTCGGGGGCCGTCCCCCCCCAGTCCGGGTAGTCCCGTTGGCCTAGGGTTAAGTCCTGGCGTGCGTCAGGGGGGTTGCCGTGGGGTTGTCCTCCATGTTTGGGGAGGTCCCCGGCGTTCCCATCTCGGGTCACTGGCCATTGTGTCGCAGCATATGCGGACGGCCCAGACTTGGGGCACCGTAAGTCGTGTGGTCCATGTAGCATGTTCAGATGTGGGCCAGGGGGGTCGTTGTAGGTTTGTCCGCTATGTTGAGGGCGGGCCCTTTCGTCCCAATGGCTGCAGTCTGAAACATGTCTCGTATGGACGTCAGGTGGGCCAGGGTCATGGGTCGGATAGTCATGTCTGTGTCGCATGTCCATGTGTGTTCCCGGAGGGGCGTCGTGGGGGTCGCAGTGGTCGACGTGTCCAATGTTGGGGTGTGTATTGTTCCTATGACCTTGATTTTGGTCCTTTCCCGTCATGATACTTACCAGTTCGGCCACGCTCCTGCGTTCACAGTTGGACGATGGTTCGCCGCGGTCGGAGCGAGGGGAGTGTGGGCCGGAGGTAATGTCACGGCTGGTTCCGTTCGAAATAGCGGTCCTGATTTCCGCTGCGCGATCAAGATCCATGGTCGCGCTTGGAGTCATGCTCAGTCCCTGTTGGTGGTCGCTACTTACCTGTTGGATTTGTTGTAAGCGGGTCGCGGCGGATTTCCTAGTTTCCGCCAGTTGTCGTTCCAGGTCACTCACTGTGTTTTGGAGCCTTGCTTTCTGGGCTTCGGAGTCGCGCAAGGTTATCCTGGAGATTATGGCCAGTCGTCCTAGCCACTGGGTTAGGGTCTTACCTTGGAGTTTCGTCGTAGTAGCTTCGGATGCTAATATTGAGGTAGCATCTTGTAAGTCAGAGAGTGAGCTGTGCTCAAGCGTGTCGTAGCCCCCTGGGAATAACTTCTCTGTGAGGTCTCGCAGAAAGTTATCCACTATACCGTGTCCTTCTGAGACACCGTCGTGCTTGCTTGGTCGTGGCGAGTTTCCGCCATCGATTTCCATATTTGTGTGGGTGAGTGTATGCGAGTATGACTTGGAACGTGTGTGTACGACACGGTGGGAGGGGGGAAGGGAGGAAAGCAGTGCTATAGAGAGGGTAGTTTAGCTGTTGGTCGTGTGGTGGTGTAGACCTTGGTGTGTGTCAAAACCGTGACTACAGCGTCCTCTCCGTATGGCGGTGTATGCGAGTAGGCGGCCTAGGGCAGGGGCCGGGCGTTAGTACTTCTTCACCTGTGTGTCAGCGAAGAGCGTTGGGGTTAGTGGCGTTGGCGCACGTAGGGTCAGCAGTGGCGCCAGCAGCAGTATTAGGGCGCAGCGGTAGACGCAGCGTGAGATGCACTTGCGTTTGTTCTCGCACTTGCGTTTGTTCTCGCACTTGCGTTTGTTCTCGCACTTGCGTTTGTTCTCGCACTTGCGTTTGTTCTCGCACTTGCGTTTGTTCTCGCACTTGCGTTTGTTCTCGCACTTGCGTTTGTTCTCGCACTTGCGTTTGTTCTCGCACTTGCGTTTGTTCTCGCACTTGCGTTTGTTCTCGCACTTGCACTTGCGTTTGTTCTCGCACTTGCGTTTGTTCTCGCACTTGCGTTTGTTCTCGCACTTGCGTTTGTTCTCGCACTTGCGTTTGTTCTCGCACTTGCGTTTGTTCTCGCACTTGCGTTTGTTCTCGCACTTGCGTTTGTTCTCGCACTTGCGTTTGTTCTCGCACTTGCGTTTGTTCTCGCACTTGCGTTTGTTCTCGCACTTGCGTTTGTTCTCGCACTTGCGTTTGTTCTCGCACTTGCGTTTGTTCTCGCACTTGCGTTTGTTCTCGCACTTGCGTTTGTTCTCGCACTTGCGTTTGTTCTCGCACTTGCGTTTGTTCTCGCACTTGCGTTTGTTCTCGCACTTGCGTTTGTCGCGCACTTGCGTTTGTCGCGCACTTGCGTTTGTCGCGCACTTGCGTTTGTCGCGCACTTGCGTTTGTCGCGCACTTGCGTTTGTCGCGCACTTGCGTTTGTCGCGCACTTGCGTTTGTCGCGCACTTGCGTTTGTCGCGCACTTGCGTTTTGTCGCGCACTTGCGTTTTGTCGCGCACTTGCGTCTTGTCGCGCACTTGCGTCTTGTCGCGCACTTGCGTCTTGTCGCGCACTTGCGTTTGTCGCGCACTTGCGTTTGTCGCGCACTTGCGTTTGTCGCGCACTTGCGTTTGTCGCGCACTTGCGTTTGTCGCGCACTTGCGTTTGTCGCGCACTTGCGTTTGTCGCGCACTTGCGTTTGTCGCGCACTTGCGTTTGTCGCGCACTTGCGTTTGTGGACGCACTTGCGTTTGTGGACGCACTTACGCTTACGTTTTAGACACACTTGCGTTTTGGGCCGCGGCGTAACTTTAGACGCAGCTCAAGTAAGCAGTAGCAAAAAGGCAGCAGGCTGAGGCAAGGCAATGCAGTTTTAGTGACAGTGAGGGTTAGAAATAGAGTATTAGTTTTGATGTAGTACAATCAAACATAGAGTTTGGCATAGTAGAGTGTTAGTTTCACCACTAGGTGGGAGTGCAGTATCTGTCAGATCACACGCCGATGTGGTTCAACAATAACGTGCATCATGCAGGAGCAGGAGTACAGAATAGGATTAGTTACCACAGCAATGTGTTATTATCAGTGGCAAGGAGGGGGGCGGGGGTGTGTGGGAGTGCAGTGTTTGTTAAATCACCACACAGATGTGTTACTGTAAACTAGCAGTAGTGAGTGAGCAGGAATAAAGCATAGAGTGCGTATCACCAGCGACATGCAGCAGAAGGAGAGCAGAGTTTACAGCATTAACCTTGGCTAATGCAGTAATGTAGCTTAACAATTATGTTTAAGAGGAGAAGCAGAAACAGAGCGTTAGCTTTTGTTATGTATAGCAGTAATGTGTTCTAATAGCAACATGCGCTAGAAGTAGCAGAGTTACAGTGTGAAACTTGGTCAACGCAGTAATGTAGCCTAACAATTATGCTTAAGAGGAGAAGCAGAAGCAGAGTGTTAGCTGTTGTTACGTATAGCAGTAATGTGTTCTAATAAAAACAATATGACATGCAGAAGGGGGCGGAATTAAAATGATTCGTTTCAGTGTAGTACAATCAAACATAGAGTGGTTATTAGTTTGAGCAACAAAACAGCATGGAACAACAGCTAGACCGTGTTAATGTTACCACCATGGGCAGCAGTGTGGTCTAGCCGTGACATGCAGAAGAAGGGGCAGGATTAAAATTATTAGTTTTAGTTTAGTACAAGGAGGGGCGGAATTAGCGTATTAGTTTCGTACAATCAAACATCAAGTTTGGCCAAGTAATGTGTTATTAGTTGGAACAGAAACAGCACGGGACAATAGCCAAAACGGTGTTAATGTTAGATCCACATTCACAGATGATTAAAGACGGGGTGCAGAATGAAGTGTCAAGACAGCAGCAATGTGGTCCCGGAAGTAGTGCCGGGACCGGAAAGCAATTTTGTGTTAGACAATAAAAGAGGTGCGGCTCGTTTAGCAGTGTGCCGAGACGGCTGGCGCCTTATGATCGTCAAAACACAGAATCAGAGTGAGATAGGGTAGTATGCAAGTATAGTAAGTGGTGTTATTGTTAGACAACAGGTAGACAATGCAGCAGAATGGTATTAGCAGTGGGGATGCGGCTCTGGCTTTTAGCGCGCCAGGGCCGGAAGTTAGCCGTATGCTAAAAACAAAGGAGCGTAGCTAGCATGTAGCTTGCCGGCAACGGTACATTGTAGCAGCAGTTTAGGCAATAAACAATGAGTTTTGGTGACCGAATGCAGTTCGGTTAAACAGAGTGGTACTAGTTTTAACGGTAGAGAAGCAGCTTATAGTGGGAGCAGTAGTAGGAGCAACGGCGTTGTCAGAGTTAGCTTTGAGGCTAGCGGGGCCCGGGCGGAAGTTAGCCTTATGCTAGAACAAAGGAGGGTAGCTAGCCGTTAGCTTTCGAGCGTGGAGCGTTTTAGCAGTAGTTTATACAACGAAAGTCTGGAGCGAGTTATACAGTTCGCACAAGCACGTATACAGTGGTGGGATGGTGTTTGTCTGTATTGTGCAGTACAGTCTTGGTGTGTGTATGTCCAGCAGCAGAGTAGCAGGAGAAAGAGTGGTGAGACAGAGTTAGCGTTAGCCACCTTTAGCAGAACAACAGTATCACCTTCACACAGCAGCCATTTACAGCCTTTTACACAGATATACTCGGTTAAAATCCTGTGTGACTTGGGTCACAACGGGACACAGTAGATCCGTACGCCCGTGTTCTGGACACGGTGTACAGTGGAGTTATAAGAATAAATTTTTGCGCTTTCTCTTCAGAGGGGAAGCGGCTTCACATTCCACGCTGCCCGCTGGCCAAGCGGGGCGAAACGTTGTAGGAGATGCGTAGTACCTGTGCATAAGCCAGGATTTCTGAGACTAAATTAATAGTCTGGTGCATGCACGAGACGCTTTATCGCAAACGTGGGGCGTAGGGGCGCTCGATTGTCCTTGAAGTCACTATAGCAACGGGGGTAGCAGGGACAGAGGGGGTGCGGGAGTGGGGGGAAGCGCTTTGAGCGGAGCAGCAGTAAAGTTAGCGTATTGCAGATCAATCACAGAGTACGAGTTTGATAAATCTGGTCTTATGTGCGCGGATCTCACAAACAGGGCACCATTATGTAGGGTAACTACTTATATGTAGGGTAATAATACTACAGATTATGTTATGAGAAGAATAGTGCGGCTAGTCTTCAAATCAGAGTCTGGCCGTCCTATTCGAGTGGGGGATCTGCTTTATATTTATTTAGGCACCAGCAGTATATGACACACTGCGCAGATCCAAACCAACTTTTGCCTCGAGTCAGTCTTATAAATCTAAAAGGTAGTTAATTCGTAAATCGGCCAGGGATATTCCGAGATCTAACAACGCGACTCTGAAGGGGTTGAGTTAAAGAAAAGTAGTTTATTGATTACAAAAATGAGGGTAAAATATAACGAAAAGGGATTTCTGGTCACATTAAAAGCAGGAGTTGTACACATATCATTCAAATCATACATTTAACAAGAACAGTCTTACTTTGGAGGAGCGTAGAGGATGGAGAAAGGATTTGGGTTGGGGATCAGCCCACGTGGCTTCTTTGTCTGGCAGGCGGGAGGTATGAAGCCAGCGAGTTGGTCCAGCTGCTGGTCCACGCGTATGCAGCTCAGTCCGGAATGGGCTGCACGCGTATAGTCCAGAGCCAAGGAAAGAGGCTGGTGATGAAATGGTTCGTAAGGTCCCGAGCCAGAGGAGAGTATGTTTGGCGGAGTAGAAGGCCCGATGCGTGCTGGCGCGACCGTAGTAGGAGACACGTGCCGCGGGACGCCGATGGCCAGGGAGGTTGGAATAGTGATTTCAGGATGGGACAAGAGGCAGTTTGCTGTTTGCGGGCTGGTTTTGTTGTGGTCAAAGTGGGCGCGCCCGTGACGTCATATTTGCGCGTCTTCCTTGGGCCGCCTCCCCACAACAAAATGGGTTATAGTGGGAACACACAGGATTAATACAGATGATCATAACACATGTACAAACACACAGTGTATTTACATCACAGACATCAACACACACGAGTAAGGTCCGTGACGTTATCGACATAGTATCACAGAGTAATGTCCTTTTCGAGCGTCCGTCTCGGGTGCAGTAGTGTCCAGTGTCCGCTAGGGAGCGCCAGAGCGCTGTGGGGGAATCTCAGAGTGTCCGGGGACAGGGATCCTGGGAGCGAGAGCAGGGTTGTGATCTTTGATCTCTACAGGCAGGCAGAGACAGAGGTGCTTATCCCCGTGGTGACTTTATTGCTCTTTTTGGCATCTGTAATCCCCATGATCAATGATAGTCCTCCGGCCGACCTCGCTGTTCCTTTGAAGCTGCAGTGGGACGTCTTCCTCCTTTGGTCGAATGTGTACACAACAGGGCCTGGCTCTGTTTTACGGCCCTGTCCCTTATTTAACCTTACACTTGTATAAAGCACGGATTTTTTCTCGGGATGAAGCACCTCCTACAGCCGGCCCAATGTGGCTGTCAGAGGGGGGCGGGGTCAGGGAGGGGGGTGAGTCGGAAACACAGTGAGGAGTGGAGGGGAGGGAGGGAGCAAGATGGATAGAGAGGGAGGCGGGGGAGACGGGATCCGAGCTGGAGACTGAAGTGTGAGATTGTTGTAGATGGGACCTTTTTGTTATTATGGCCTTGGCCCGAGGAATGTGAGATAAGAGTGGAGAGAAGACACAGCAGGAGAAACACATCGCCTCAGGGGGACAATATTAAATGCAATGTCAGGCAGATATTCTATTAAATCCAATTAAACCGAATTGCGGCGCCCTCAGACCCCGTACACGGGGGCAGATCCAAGCCGGGTCAGAGAGTTCAAGCCTGACAAACAATGTCATTCAATCTCAACTCCAGAGTCTTATGTCCATCGAGTGAACGAGCTTCGAGGTCTTTAACCAACTGTTCCACCAAAACCACTCTCCTTTGTCCAGACACGGCACTCTCAACCACGACGCGGCTAAGCTCCTTGTACATCCCATCAATTTTGTCGGCCAGCAGGTCGTGAATCTTGCGAACTGCCATGCCTCCGAATTTGTGGTAGAAGAGAACAGCTCCAAAACCAAACAGGAGGATTCCCACCACCAAAATGCCAAAGATATATACGTCTTCCGAATCTTCAATGGACAGGGTCGACAGACAGAGGGGCTGATACTTGTTCCAGCTGTCAAGAGTATACCCCGCTGGTGAGGTCCCGTCCGGGCACACGGGCTCTCCAGACCCACGCTTACATGTTGAAAAGATAGAATCAATTGCGTTGAGGGACCAGTTAATCATTTCCATTCTTGTTAAAGTTGTCTGTGGCAAAATTCCAGGAAAAAGACAAAAACAGGAGATAGCAAGCAGTCAGAAGCAGGAGCGTCTGAGACACGTCTTTGCTCGACGGAGGCGGAAGAGAAGACCAGAGAGAAGAGGGTTGGGGTGATGTTTATGTAGTGCACATTTGTATGATGTGAATCTTTGCTGTAATACAGTCAAAAAATTGGCTCTTAGTCTCTGACTGGTTGGCCACCCCTGGACTACAGCGTTGTGCGAGTTAAGTTTCAGTTTCTCTTCCTGTTTACATTCTGCTACTGTAGCTAACAGCTACTGTAGCTAACAACTCGAGCACGGAATGCGTTGTTTGTATTAGAGCAATGAGAGCAATGTGTGAGACGTCTTTCCCCAAAGTGCAGCGGCTCAGTGGGACACGTGTGTGTGCGCGGGCACGCCGCGGACACGGGAGCGCGCTTTGGAGCAACGAGCGTGAGCACTGAGGAATGAATTAATGAGAATGAAAGAATGAAAAATGTGGCGTACGAGCAGAGCGACCGGAGCCAGGCAGGATATAAGTGTGTGTTGGTGTGTTTTGGCGATTAAAGTCTGATTCTTGAACATCTGAAGTGTTTTTGAAACATCACCACACTGTGACAGGGTCAGGACAGAAGGGAGACTGTTAGAATTAGGGAGCTTTCAAAATGACTCAACACCCACGGTTAGCATGTTAGAAAAACAAAAAAACAAAATGACTTTTCATTAAAAAGAAATTGCCCTAAACGTCAAATTTGACTTAAAAGGCGCTATACCAGGGGTTAAAGCAAAAATAAAAGATTTGACTGAAAATTTTCGCATGGAAATTTATCACATGTAAATCACAGTAATACATGTATATTCGACCAAGTTATATTTGTAATTGAGTGTGTTCACAGTAAAGTGACAATTGAAGTATCTGGACTTTAAAAGGTTATAACTTAAAAACAAAAATCACTTTCATAGATTGGAGAAAAGATTTCAAACACAGACAGATTGAAGAGATAGTGTGGAAAAAATCAAAAGGAAAGATCGACAAAATAATTTTTAGCAACATTTTAAACGACCAAATTAGCCTCTGATTGGACCATTCTACTGTGACGCCAGTTACATAGAAAATAGAATGTCCTCAGTCTGAAAAAGCAGAAGATGAAATCCCACAAGATTTACATGGTTAACACAACATCAGGAAATCACTTGATATAAAAAGGAATTGTAAAAAAAATAAAAAATAAATTAATTGATTAAATGACCCCTGAAAAATGTATAACGGACGTGATGAGGACGGTCCTCTTTTCTCTAAAAATTAAACTTGAGAAAAAAAA